GCTTGAAATAACAAGACCTATGGGAGGACTTTTGGCTTTGGGAGAACTCTTTAGAAAGCTTTCAGTGATTCTTTAGGTAGCCAAACCAGCCTTGTCAAACTAGTTAGGGCCACACTAAAGCCAAGCTTGGCCAGGGGAGTTTTGAATCCTAGAAAGTACATTATAAATCTCACTGCTCTTGTCTTAGCTAAGAGTCAGCAACATCCAGATTTGTAGGCATCCCCAGAAATCAAGATAGAGCTTTTCTAATCCAGCTGTAATTTAGCTCTATCTCCATAGTAAATAATGCACATTCTTCTCTAGAATATATAGAACATTAACAAAATTGACCACAGCAGGGAAAAAAAATTAAAAATCAAGTATTGATAGTACAGAACTCATTATCTGGTAACAATTCAATTAAGTTAAAACTTAACAGAAAGACTGAAAAATGTATTTGGAAATGTAAAAATACACTTCTGGGGCCGGCTGGGTGGCATAGCGGTTAAGTTCACGAGCTCTGCTTTGGCGGCCAGGGGTTCACAGGTTCAGATCCTGGGCATGGACTTAGGCAGTGCTTGTCAAGCCATGCTGTGGAGGCGTCCCATATAAAGTAGAGGAAGGTGGGCACGGATGTTAGCTCAGGGCTAATCTTCCTCACACACACACACACACACACACACACAAAATAATAATAATAAAAATACACTTCTACGTGATTCATGGGTTGAATAAGAAACCATAAATCATAATAAGTATGGAATAATAAATAATGGACAAGAATGAAGAAATTGCAAACCAAAATTTGAATCAGGCTCTGAAAATGATATAGGGGCATAATTTATAACTACAAATACTCAACTAAGCAAACAAAAATGTCTGAAAATTAAATTAGAAAAATAATTATAATCTTAAAATTTGTAAAGATATTAATAAAATTAAGAAACAGAATTAATGAAAGAGAAAATTAAGCTAAAGTAGCCTGGATTCACAACATCAAAAGTTGATTTCTGAAAAGAGTATAAAACAGATATTTTGGTGAGATAAACTAAGGAAAATGAAAAGGAGAAAAAACATGTAATATTAGAAATGAGAAACACACAAAGAAGTAAATAAAAATGTGAAAGTGTGCTTATAAATTGTAATTTAAACAAAATAAATTCATAAAAATATAACAAATCTAACTTAAGATGAAATAAACAGCATTGATACTCCTACCCTATTAAGAAAGTGAAATATTGTTTAAATCCTCTGCCCCTCCCTCCAATTACAGGCTATACTGATTCTTAAAACGTGTATAATTACATCAAAACACACAAATCCAAAAATCTTATTGCCTATCTAAACTGCTGAGTACCCTCACGCAAATCAGGCTCCTCAGAAAGTCCCCTTGTGCCTTTTTTAGATATAACCACCAACTTCACTATTTTGTTGTCTTGAACTTCACATGAAAGGGATCATTGAGTAGTACTTTTATTGTGTGTGGCTTCTTGCATTCAACATACTGTTTTTGAGATTCATCCATGTAGATTAATATATGAATTAGCTCATAAATTTTATGGTTGTATAGTGTGCTAAAAACTGAGTTACTAATCTCTTAGTGGACATTGTTTCCAGTTTATAACCGTTATGAATAAATCTTCTATGAAGAAGCAAGTGTTTTGTTGATAGATGCTTTCATGTACATATCTTGAGCAGTGAAATGCTGCCGTATAAAGTACACATTTAAATTTACAGAAATCTGGTAAATAGTTTACTAAAACGGTTATACTATTTTCCATGTCCGCTAGCAGTATATGGGAGTTTCAGCTGTTCCATATAGTCACTAACACTTGGCATTCTCAATCTTTTGTTGTTGTTGTTTGCAGGTTTGTTAATTTTATTCCTTTTTCTCTATCCTTTTTGGTTTATTTGGTATCCCATGATGCATATCGATGATGAGTGACTTGTAGAATGTTGATGGGCCAATTGGATATGAAGGACAAATATCATTCTTCAGTCTAGGGATTGTCTTTCAACTTGCGTAATGGTGTCTTTAGGTGAACAACAGTTTTTAATTTTGATAGTGTCAAATTAATCAAATATTTATTTTGTGGCTTTTCTTTTTATCTTTTACTTAAGAATTATTTGCCACCGCAAGGCCATGGAAATATTCTCCTGTATTTTCTTCCAGAAACTTCATAATTTTAGTTTTGGTATTTATGTCTGTGTTCATTTCTAAAATTTTTTATGATGTGAGGTAGGGGGTCAAGGGTCTTTTTTTTCCATATGAGTATCTATTGACTTAAGTCCATTTATTTAAAATACCATCCTTTTCCCATTAATTTAAATAGGCACCTCCATTGGAAAAAAAGTTATTTTTTGTGGATTTATTCTAGACTCAATTCCTTCCAGGTTATATAATTGTTTTTACATAAATGGCACGCTATCTTAATTACTATAGCTTTATAGTAAGTCTTAAAATTTCATACTTAAAGTCTCTCTGCTTTTGCTTTTCTTCAGAATTATTTTGTCCATTATAGGTCATTTGCATTTATATAAAAATTGAACATTATACTGCCAAATTTTACTAATAAGCTATTGGATAACATTCAATCTACAAGTCAATTTTGATTGAAATGAAATCTTAAGAACGTTGAGATTTCTAATTCATGAAATTGGTATATTTGTACCATTACTTAGGTGTGATTCAATTTTTCTCTGCCATGTTCTGTAGTTTTTATGTAGAGGCCCTCCATATCTTTTTATGTTTTCTGATGCTTTGGTAAATTCTATTTATACAGTTTACTTTTCCAGTTGTTTATCTCTCATTTTATAGAAATAAAACAGATTTTTGTGTATTTAACTGTATATATCAATTTTGCAAATAATAAATCACTATCATTAATAATAGTTTTCTGCTGTTTCCTTTGGCTTTTCTATGTACTGCATTTGTATTATTTGCAGATAAGGACAGTTTTGTTTCTTTTTTCCAATATTTATGCTTTTTTTGGTACAGTCTAGGAATCCCACATGATGTTGAATAGGAAGTAATAGTTCAGCTAGTTGATTCATGTTTGTTTTGTTTTTACTGTAGGAAGAAACTCAATATTTCAAAAATAAGTATGCTGTTGGCTGTAGGTTTCATAAATAACCGTTATCAGTTTATGGAAGTTTCTTATATTTTTAGACAGATATCTATATCTATATATCTGCAGATCTATCTATCTGGAGATCTATCACTCTGCAGATATATATATGTATGTATGTCTGTGTGTGTATGTATATATACATTTCTTGTCAGTGTAGTGAATCAGCCTTTTATTCTTGGGATAAAGCCCATTTTGTCATGATATATTTTATTTTGGTTGGATTTAATTTGCTAATATTTTGTTTAGGGCTTTGAAATTATGATCATCAGAAGTATTTTACTTCCTTGGAATACAGTTGTCTTGTTGCAATATCTGGATTATGCTGCCTTATAAAATTAGTGGGGAAGTGTTCTAACTTTATATAGTTCATGAATTTCTATAAGGTTAGTATTTTTTCCTTATTCAAATGTTTAGTACAATTCACCATTGAAAACCTCTCGACCTAGATATTCCTTTGTGAGAATATTTTTAATTACAAATTCAAATTCTTGATATAGTTGAGTTTAAATCTATCAACTTTTCATTATCTCTGTATGAACTTTGTTTCTGTTACATTTTTTAGTTCTTTCCATGTTTTCTTTTTAATTAATCCAATCTATCTTGTAAATTGGATTTTAACTATTTTTCAATTAAAGAGCCTGTTTCCGGGCCGGCCCCGTGGCTTGGTGGTTAAGTGAGCGCGCTCCACTGCTGGCGACCTGGGTTCGGATCCCGGGCTCGCACCGACGCGCTGCTTCTCCG